CCCCACTGATTCTACTACAGTGACGAAGGGCAATGGACCCCTGTGATGTTATGAGTTGGGTGCTCTGTTCTTTAACAGCGCCTCCATTTATAAGTGGCTGGGAGAAGGACTGACTTACTGAAGATGCTGAGAGGGTGTGCCTTTGATCAGTAGGTCACTGGTTCAGATCCCAGGGTCAGCAGAGGGATTTAAACCCTTAACCTCCAGTTGATCCAGGTACCGTTCAGCCCTGCTTTCTCAAAAATGTCTGCAGTTTTGGATAAAAGTTATCATAAAAATGTAAAATGATGTGTTTGTCACAGTATGGAGCGCATATACAGGTGCAGGTCGAGGCACCGTCCTAAACAGGGATCTGCTGGGGGCGAGGGGGGGACGGACGGACACTGCTCGTCTGCTTCAGCTGCGTCAGAGTACAGCAAAGGAGAGACCTGATGAAAGTCAATGATGTCATCTCTGCAAAGTAAGTCAAAGTACAGTAAGTCAGACTGGACTTGGGGGGTGGGGGGTGCTATTTGAGGGGCTTCCTGATAAATTTTTCAGCAAACCCAGTGAATATCCAGCTGTATTAACTCACCAAATGAGAGAGAAATCAGGGGTTAAGGGCCTCAATCGATGACTGAACAGTGACATCATTCTCCTGACCCTGGGACTTGAAGCAGCAACCATCTAATTAACAAGGACAGCATCCTAACCCCCTGAGCCACACACCATCCAGCACGTCCCTGGGAGAAGAAACGTCACTGTGTGCAAAAAAGATCCTCTGAGCAAAGACTGTAAGGCAGCACAAATTCTATTATATTTCCCGACCATAAGATGTCAACCAATGAGAGGGAGCCGGCTCGTCTCTCTCAGCACGCCGGGTGTGGAGATGAGGGATCGATTGATGATTGTAGGTGACGTGGAAGTAATCAAGGTGCCAGCGCTGATCCTGGGGACATCAAAGTCTGTGTGGCCGACTCCAGGGTGTGGGGAGGGGGCTGTGAGCACCGGCTCTGTCCGGAGGATCCTAGCGGTAATGAAGATTACGGATCGAAGCAGACGGATTTCCGGCCAAGGACAATTCCGAACCTGTTTCTCTGAGGGGGTGGAAGGCGTCAATTCAATTTAAATGATTACATATTTATAGCGCCTTTCCCGGCCTGGTTATTGTCCTAATTTGTCTTAATTAGGTGTGGCGCAGTCAATTTCATTGTAACATGTCACATAAGAGGCGGACTTAATGATGATACTTATTCCAGCTTTCAAAATCCAATCAAATAATATATTTTCAATAAGGGCATTCAATTAAAAAGAGGAGGCACGGATGATCTGGGCAAATATGAAAGCGACCCTTTCCTGTGGTTCTCAACCAACTGAAACGTTATAGATTTAAAAATGAGGCTTCGGGTGTGAAAGTGAGACGGAGGACTTCGGGCGGGGTTAGTGAGAACTGCTGAAAAGTGTGGTGTGGCTGCAAATCCGATCAGAAAGACATTAGTGTCCTGTTAGCGTCGGTGACAAAGAGCCCTACTGGGGCTCGCTCGACTTCCAGACAGAAATCAGATTCCCGTACAGGAACTCCAGGCAGCGTTGGCTTGATAAAACGTATATGTTTCGGTAACAGAAATAAATATATCGACTTGGGGTTTAAGTTTAAAAGTTTCCTGACAACAGCAACACAAGACAAACTTAATAACTGCTAACACAGGGCTTTATATAACGCAGCATCTGCCGAATCGGGTTTCCACGCAACCTGAGCGGGTCGATAGCGTGTTGTCTGAAGTCGGGCATGCGGTGTGCTGCATCGCACACGCAACACAGGCAAGGGAAAGAGATCTGCAGGTCGGGAAAGGAACAGATGACAGGGAAACGCCTGTAACGTCCTGCTCTCTGCAGGGCACGCAACTGAAAGAGGGGGAGATTAACTTGTGCATCATTCGGCGGAGATAAGCGATATTCTGTGTGCATTTAGAATCCCGCTGCATGGCGTCAAAGGGCTGCTTCATCACGTTCATCAAAGGACAGAGGGAGCCCATCTTTCAAGGCAACCACACTGGCTGCCTGTCCATTAGACCCCAACAACAGCACGAGCTTTGCGAGCCATATTGTAAAAGGTCATGGGAGTTTCTACGTATATTTTCAAAGAAGCTCCTTTCACAAAAGCTGGGGCTTCTGGGAACGACATAGTCAAGGATTTTCTCTCACAAATAATACAGCATTTATTTATTTACCAGACGCTTTTATTCAAAGTGATGTACAATTGAGAAAGCAGGGTTAGGAAGTCCTGGGAGCAGTTGGAGGTTAAAGGCCTTGCTCAGGGCCTCAATGGTGACATCACTCTGCTGACTATGGGCTTTGAACCAATGACCGTCGATTATGGGCACAGAGGCCCTGACCTGCGCGGCCACTCACCAGCCTCCAGCAGGGAGAGACCCATGTGTCACTCATGATGTCACCTGTGTGACTCTGCCGTACCTACTGTATGAGATTTGCTTCGCCTGCATGTAAAATGAATGTATATTTTGCAAATGTAGAATTATTTTTGTTGAACTAAGAAATGGTTAATATTTAATTGCATTGTTTCTAATACGAACTCTATATTCAATTTCAAATCCATTAAAATTTTAATTCTGATTTTTTTTATATTAAATGCTAATTCGCAGCCTTACTTAAATTAATTCCAACTTGTAAGCCACACAGACTCATTTTGAATTCAGTTAAAAAATGTAGACATACAGCTAGAGTGAACATAACACACAAAGGGTATAGATATTGGGGGTCCTGGGGGGCCCGGTAGTTAACTCTCGCCGTATATGGAAAGGGGCCCAGGGCCCCTGGTGCTCAGTGTGCTCTCTGTATGCTGGGGGCCCTTGTTGGAGGCCCTTGTTAACTTGCTATGTTTATGTTGGGAGACCCTAGGGCCCTGGGGGTCACCGCTGAGGGCCTTGATGGTCAACAGCCCTGGGGGCCCCTGATGGTTAATTTGCCCTATAGATGCCAAAGGGCGATAGGGCCCTAGCTGTCATCTCTAGCTCTATATGCAGAGGTCCTGCATGGTCATCTTCAGTTGCATATGAAGTTCGTAGTGTTTAGCTTGCACTATGAATGCTGTGACTTGCAGCCACTAGTGCGTCGAGACCCCATCCAGCCCAGGGTCCATAATCCAGCCATGGTTGTCAGGTCTGGCCCCTTCTTGGGAGCGGGGGTCCCGGCCCCGGCCCGTTTCTGAGCCGGTGATTTTCCGGAAAGCAGTATGAGGTGCAGCGTTTCGTGCCCAAACGGTGTGGAGTGGAGTCACGTTCAACATTAATGTCGCTCTGTGGGAGACCCTTCTCCAGGTGCTAATTACTGCTCCGAACAGCATTAGCCACTAGCCGCTAAAACCACAAAGGTCTTCATATGAAATGCCTTTATATTACTGGAATTAAGCCCTAAAAATGATCATTCACATAATCACATATCAGTAATGAGTAACCATGACTCTGTGTTAGGAATGTCGTGGTGCTGGCCCTGATGCTTTGCGTTTCTTCTGAAGGATGAAGCTGACAGTGAAGATGACTGGTCCTCTGGGCTCCACCAGTCGATGTCCTCTTACTGAGTCACCCCCTCCTATGGATCACAGTTCTGGGAGAAAAAGCCCCCCCTCGCTGCATTATAACAGAGTGTGCCAAGTACCTTTCTGCGGGAAATTCATGAGGAGCTTGAGGTGAGCTGCGCTAGATCCTGAACAGATGGGCGTATTCACATTCAGATCTGACAGGAGTCGCTGGAGGAGTCGCTGGAGGAGTCAGTGAGTGAGGTAATGGGGCAACGAGGGCGGGCGCAGAACACCAAGGAGAGGAGCGTCATTTTGCCAAAATGTGTCTGCGTTAATATACGAGTGGCCCAGCCCTGCTGCCTGTGAAGGACAGAGCAAGACAATGTCTCTGCCTTCTCCACAAAGTACATGTGCAGCTCTCCCAGATATCAGGATCCTCCCTAACCCTCTTCCATGCTGCGGAAGGCTGGGATGAACAGAACATTCTGGAATTGATGCATTAATACAGTCAACCTGAATTCTCAAATAAGCCAAGAGTTTGTTCCATTGGTAAAAATAATAATCCTAAGTGTCGGACAGGACAATAGGGGTAGATTTAGTACCGCTGGCTCTATATAATGGAGTCTCTCGCCCACACACCCACCCAAAATAAAGATCTAAGAAAGCATCTATCACTGGATGACAGCTATACGCCAAACCACAGAGGAAACGCAGAAGGCACGACACCTCTGCTGGCCGGCTTGCACCTGTCACCGAGTAATGTTCGGTCAGAGCTTCTCCCTCCGCCTCCTGCTTTCTGTCGCCGTGTTTCTCTTTGCCGAGCCCAAAGCCACGGGAAAAATTGCAAAGTTTCCAAGGTGGGGGGAGGGCAGTGGGGGGCCGGCTTGCAAATAAACAGCAGCAGCAGCAAGAACAGCAGCGCTGAGATCCTAACAGGGGCATTAAAGGGACGGCATCCGCAGCGGCAGCGGCCGCTCTTTATCTGATACCACGCGGAATAAATGATCCCATTGTGCTCGCCGCTGTCCGAGGCCGACTCCCGGTGAGGAGAGCCATTCTGTCGATTTTCCCAGAATGCCGCTCTGCGCGGTGAGATGCCGCTCTATTCGCCGAAGACGGGCTTCAAAGGCGAAATCTCCCACCTCTTTAAACAATGAGCATCTTGATATGCGCGCGATATTTCAGCGCCTCGAAAATAACCCCCGGGGGGGGGGGGGGGGGTGGATGTGTTCGGGGGGCTCGCATGCATAGCTTTCCTCGCTAATGTTTCAATTCGGTCCGGCGGAGGCAGTTTGCATCCCATTACGAGCAGCGCCGGGCAGATGTGCCCATTACAGGACGCCTTTCCCCATGGCCCCATCTTATCATCATGCAGTAACGAGCGTTTGGGCAGCCAGGGAGCGAGCGGCTAAACTATTACCTCTCCAGACTAAAAACGGAATATAATGGTGAAGGGGAGGAGGGGGGTGAGACTCACCTCCCCATGAATGGAATTAATTCCAGTTATTCAAAATGCGATATACATACATCAGTCGAGATGCTCCCCTGATGATGGGACCCATTCGCGGAGCGGTGAGTGTAGTTGTGGTGAGTGTAGTTGTGGTGAGTGTAGTTGTGGTGAGTGTAGTTGACTTTGGTTTCATATGTTAATGCCACCATGTGTGAGGCAGGTTCCCCAGGGGCCTGTATCGTGAATCTGGGATTTCTTGCTTAGCCCAGTAACTTGTCGGATTTAAGGTAGTCTGCGCTAAATGAAAGTGATGTAAGTCCATTTAAATTAAGGTACCTTAAGGCCCTGTCTGAGCCCAACGGGTGAGTTTACAATCCAGTGTCAGGGTCAGTCCCTGTCCTATGTCTGTTCCCTGTCCCTGACTCGTGTCCTTAGTACCTAATGTGTTCCCTACTTCCCTGGGTCACTGTGTGGCGAAATTGGGTAAGTGGGTGGCTTTGACCCAAACAAGAGACCAGCCTCACCCTATTTGACATTCTTGTGCCCTGGTTAGTTCCTGTGTTAGTTCCCGTGTATTTTGTGTTCTGCTCCTTGTTCGGTCCCTATAAGTCTTTTCAGTTGTATTTTTAGGGTTAGTTTTCTTTGTGGTCAGCTACGGTTAGTTCTTGTTTTTACCTACTTGTTTTCTCCCCTCGTGGTCTCTTTGTTTTCTGGTTTTCCCTTTCATTCTATTCTGCTTAATAAACCCAGTTTGTTGAGAGCTGCTGGGTGGATCGTTCCTCCTTCGTCATGCGCTACTATAACAGCCAGGGGGCAGGTGCTGAAATTGTGGAAAGTATGAAAAACATTGAGGAGATCGGGTGCTTGTTGGTTTCTGGGACAGGACACGGTAGAATGTGTTTTAATTAAACATCATTACGTCCTTGGAAAGAGGCCCAGAATCCAAGGTTACGTTTTCGCTCTTCAGACTCTTTGCCGGCAATCATTCATAAGGAAGTAGACACCAATCCAACGTCCCACGACATTCTGCAGATCCACACCGCCACAGGCTCAGCATGATGTCAGCATATTCGGACCCAAGACTCTGAGAGGGCAATCGGAGGTTCTTCAAAGGAGCCTATGACCTCATGTCCAATTGATACAAACCATATGTAATAACAATGCATTAAAGTATGATTCCAAGCTGGAACATGGGCAAGATTCCATATAGAATCTATGGCACTCTTTGGGATTGCCTATGATGAACAATTCATTGGATATTGCTCTGTTGCAAAGCAGTCTGGTTAAGTTGCCTCACAAAGTCTTCCTTGCAGGTGTGCACAGTTTTTGGGATGCGGAGGAATGGCAGAGAACATGAACGAGGAGACGCCAAATGCAGATCATTCCCCCAGATGATGGTGATTCATTCTGCAATCAGAGGAAAGAAGAGAGAGAGGCATGATCAGAGCTAAGTGAATCACCACACTCACACGCGCTGGTCACACACCTTGTCGTGTTACGCAGAACGCAACAAGGCCGGGGAAATCTGACTGTAATGGGAGAAGCAGCAGGCGGATCTAATCAAGGAACTGTGCAACTGTGGGAATTTGAGAAGGGAGATCTCAGCCGTGGGGCTGCACAAGGAAGTGAAACAGTGAGGTGCAGCCAGGTGAAGCTTTTGGGTTAGTTTGCAGCACCCTCACACACTCACCATGAAGGTCACTGTGAAGATCAGCGTGAAGATCTGTGTGAATATCACCATAAATATCAGTGCAAAGATTAGTGTGAAGGCCACCGCAAAGATCATCGTGAAGATCAGCGCGAAGGTCTCCATGAAGATCAATGTGAAGGTCATTGTGAAGGTCATTGTAAAGATTGCCATGAAGATCAACGTGAAGATCACAGTGAAGGTCACTACAAAGATCAGTGTGAATATCTCCATGCAGATCAGTGTCAAGATCACCTGTAAACGTCCTGTTCCTCACATGAGACACCTCGCACTTTCTCCTCCTGTCTCTCTAACTAGCCCATCCGCCCCAATTGTGGTTCCCCCTTTGCCCTCCACCTGTCATTTTCTCCATACTCCACAGGCTGTTCCATCCTTCTTCCCCTCTCCTCCTCCTTCTCCTCTTACCTCGTTTAGATCTCCGTCTTGATTTCCCTCTTGTGTGATGAGACGGCTTGTCATTTAAGTGAATGCCCCACCCCCCCCATGGCTGCAGGGGTGCTGCATCAGATGCAGGGTGCTTCAGTGCGTGTGATGTGAGTGTGAGGAGGAACATGCCTGTTTTGGTGCCCCCTAATTACGAGATTTCACTATTAACGGGGCGAGGAGCTTCACATTCCCGTTTCTGTCCCCAATGTGAGGAGTAGCAGTGTTTACCACCAATAAAACCACACATTTGCATGGGGCCCCTGAGTTTGGGGGCCCCTGTTGGCCACAAACAGGAAGGGTGGAGGATGTTCAAAGTAGTGGTTTTTTGAGTTGGGCCCTAAAAACAACAAGCCCACCCCTGATTCTGAGGCAGGTCAGCAACCTCACATGGGATACCCTGTGACCCATTTGACCGTGAACCCTTCCCCGGACCCTCGAGCTCCTGTAGCACATTAAAGCGAATGATCAGTGATGCAAATCCCGCAAGGATGTCTGGGCAGAGTGAGAACGCCAGACTAAGCAGCCGTAAAGCTGCAGAATTCAAAATTTATGGCTCCGTCTCCTGGAGGACCTTCAGCTTTTATGTCCGATCCTGCTGCCAGATTTTGTATTCGTTTCCTTTTTTTTTAAAAAAAAAAAAAGAAAGACAATCAGTGTTATAAAAACCATGATAGCAATAATAAAAACACTGATTTAAAATGGTTTTCTCCAGAGAACGCTGATGCTTCAGTATCAGCTGGGTCATTAAAAGAAACTCCCCTCTGAAAGTGCCACCGCAACCGTTTAAGAAGAGATTCACACTTAACTTGGAAAAGTACAGAACATATACAGAGATTCTAAATCTACCCTGATTCACCTCCCATGCCTCAATTAGCTGTGAGCTGACAGGTATGGACATGATATATATATACTGTTTTACTACAACATTAGCAGAACAGTTAGCGGTCAAGGTGGGTGATTTTACAGCTCTTAGTTGTCTTATTTTATACTCCGTTGTGACTTGAGAATTTTCTATAGTTTGAGTAGCACCGAGATGCATGATATTTCTGATTGCTTTCAGGTTTGTGAGCTGTTGTTTTTCAAATCTTTGATGTAATTAAGGTAATTAAGAAGCCCCCCCCCCACCACATCCTATCATGCTCAGAGGTCACCTATAACAACGTCACTGTTTTGGCCATAACTACAGTAGAACTCACACAGCATCATCAAATCTAACTAACGCCAGTCAGCATACGTAACTGATTTCTCTCAATAATTATTATCCGCGCGATATATTCTCCATGGTACAAGAGCCGTGTACCACACCACAAAGTGCTTTTTTACAGGTAAATATGTGCACAACCCTGACAAAGGCAGTGTGGTCAAGTTTGTAGTTCACTTCCACGTCAGCACTCTGGTTCCTGTTCTATATTCTACAGTATAAGTGCGAATCGTGGACACAAATTGCTAACACATTCCTCTCAGCTGTGCCCTTTGATATACATCAGCTCTAAATCTTAGCGTCTGTCCCTCTCCGGGCCGCCGTCAGGCCCGAAGTCGATGAATTATTCCCTCTCGAGGCCCGGACCCAAAACAAAACATCAAAATACGGCGGGCGTGCAAAGGCAGCGCTCCCCAGCGCCGGCGAGCTGCCGATAGCATCCTAAACGCCCCGACGCAAGTGGCGTCCCAGAGAGGGGGAACGGGAAGCAGCTTCGGCCGAGTCCAGACCGGATATCGATGTGGAGATGAAGGTAATAAATGAGCCCACTGATTTTAACGCAGGGGACGGGCGGATGGGCGACGGAACTGGCCGCGATAAGAGTAAAAACGCAGGTCCCTGGCATAATTACACACCGCCTGCATGCACTTTCTGTCAAAACAAGGCAGTTTTTCATCTAGCCGGAGAACAGCCAGCACTGTTCAACCAGATATATAATACCTGCAAAAATAACAAGGCTATGATTTACTCAAAAAAAAAAAAAAAAAAAATACTAATGGGACTAAAATGCTATTTTTGCTCTAAATATGTGAATTAAAAAAATTGAAGCTACGACAAACAAGTCGCGGTGTTCTCTCCCGAGATGTGGATGTGCCGTATTTCCCATCATCCCATTGGAGCGTGCAGCCTTGGGCCGGCCACTCAGCCACGCCCTCGATGTCTTTCCTGTTCCTACCTCAGTATCACCTCAGGGTAGTCTGCGATTTACGGGGTCTTCAGCAGAGACATGAGATGTTTTTAGCATCGTCAATCCCAAATAGTAACCAGCCAATCAGCCAATCCGGACAGATGGATTTCACTCCAAACACCCAAACACCCCACAGGGTCGTCTGTTTTTTGTCCTTTGTGGGATCCCATCTCCAAGTCTCATGCAAAGTTCTTATGCTAAACATGCACAGATGTGATTCCCCCCAAAACTCCAAAACAGCTAAATGCTTGAAAACAGCCCTTAATACCTCCCCTTCTGCAGTACATGGCCATTTCCACACACGTTATTTAATCACCTTTTCAAGCAATAATCAGACTATTTTCATTCTTTCCCTGGCTGGTCGGATACCTACCTTGCATTTATCTACTCCTTTGCAATACACACAATATCTGCATTATATGTTTACATTGCGCAATATGCTTACACTGCATTGTGTTCATGTATTAATCGTCATATCGAAACACCTTAATTTGTATGTTTGTGTTTACTGCTTTCCGGGAAGATATGCAGAGTGAGATTTTCATTATATTGTGTAATCGACTGTTTACTGTGCATATGACAATAAACTCGCAGATCTTGAATCTAAGTAAATTTAGTTTCTCCTCTCCCAATAAATGGCTGCGGAATAAAGATGGATGAATATTTTTTCCCTCAGAAAAATGTGTGTTGCTTATAATGTGTGATTAAGTGCTTGAGAGAATGTGATATATTAGGTAACATTTGATTTATTGATTGATACAGGCCTTATCTCCGTGGAAATGCACAGAGCCGGCTCGATAGCGAATGAGGCCGAGTGTGCTGCACACGGAATAATGTGACGCGAGCGAGACGGTCGAGTCTGAGACGGCAGAGTGAATCGGTTTCTGGCACTTTCCATTCGCAGGAGGGAAGCTCAAACTTGAGTTTCCCATCCCGGAAGAAAAGTTTACGGCGACTTCGGGAGACGTTTATATCAGAGCACATACCTTGAAACATCGGCTCCCAGCCATTATCTCTCTTACCCTGAAGTATTTATTCAGACATGCAGCTTATTTCAGCTTATCAGACAGCGGACCTTCAGTCAGGTATGCTCCAGAATGGAAGCTTACGCCTAGCACGCTTACAGATAACAGAAGCCCCAAAGTTATGGAGCAGAACTGCTGCAGTTCAGTTCCAGTTCTTATCAAATTTCTTTCCACGCTTTTAATTAATTTTTAAATAAATGTCACCTCTTCTTTCCAAAACCTACCACATGAAATATGGAGCAGATTGAAGGATGTCTTCCCAACTCCTGGAGTTCCACAACTTTGCAAATCCCGAGACCACCCCTTAGAAATTGTCTTTCTTTGGTGTTTGATTCAAAGTCCTTGATGCTTCAGTGTCTTTCTTTGCCTTTGGAGGTGAGTGACACGCTCGAGGTGGGGGTGGCAGTGCTGGTGATCCCCCCCCAAAGGGGCAGATGGCTGTAGAAACACAAGCCTCTGTGTGTCAGACACCCTTGTCATCCTGTGTGATCTAAGCCATGTTTGAACCTCCTAATGATGCCTCCTGAAGCCATCACTCGTCGAGACGCCCGTCTCAGCCTGGGACTGGGTGGCTGCTTCACTCCTCGTCTATGTTGACGACATCATGAGGACGTTCTACCAGGATGCCACCGAGGACCCCCTGGCGACAGGGACCACCTTAGCGGCCCTGTGCTCCTCACACTTGCTCACAGTTTGATTCCACCCCTCCCATCCCCAGCCCAGTCCATGAAACTCCTACTGGGGCTAGCTTCTAGAACATTCTGCCACTGGTTTCTGTTCCCAGTGCCATTACCTTCAGATAGAAAATCTCGCACACATTCCCCAATTTGAATGGCTACCTTTTTTGTGGAACAACTCAAGCTAAGCCCCAACTCTTAGGAGGTACAACTGGAGGGTCTTCCTGGGATGGAAATTGGACCCTTCAGGGAATAAGCCCCTGTCCTTGACTCACCTACTTCCTGTGCAGGTGTCATGATTGACCTTTGACCTGACATAATCATCTCTTTGCCGTTAACACATATCGTTTGGGTCCTGGTTTCAGCAACCATGACTCATGGTTTTAATCAGCATACGTAATTGCATTCAATTTAAACCCAAATTGCAATTTTTATTCACGCCGTACGCCACGCTTTATTAATGAAGTGATTTCGGCTGGGACGTGCTTGAGGGCAGCTTTGGGGGGGTGTCATTCCCGATGTTTCTCACAGGGCATTCCGCCGCGCATTCCTCCCATTCTGATGACTCGGGGACCAGGGGGGTGGGGGGTTTCCCTTTCGTGGATGCTCGTCTCTTTGTGTCACAACTGGGGCGTGACCATTAGGCCAACAAACTGTGTCATGTGACGTTTACATATGAGGGCTGGGACGCCAGCTGACGCTGAGGGAGAGAGAGAGTGAGAAAGAGATTGTATATGGATTTATGCCTAAGTTTGTGTGCTTTTGTGGGACTGTGTATATCCAAGTGTGTGCGTATGTATGTGTATGTGTGTGTACCTGAGACATCGTTTATCCCATTTCTTAACCGAATTATGTAAGCAATATAAGAGATTTACTCCAAGCTGAGGTTTGGTCGTTAATGGGATCAAAATGAAATCACTCCCTCTGTCATCCTCTCACCTGTTAAGAGAGAGAGTGACTTTATTCCGATGGCTATAAAGGCTGGAGGATTTTATTAAAGCCCAGCTTCCTGCCGTTCGAACGTGGCTGTCAGGGGGCGGCAAGCCATTCACGTCATGGCGGGGACGCTAAGCGCCTAGGAAACGGAATCTTCTCACTCACACTTACGTGCGAGGAAAGTCACGCGCGTAAAGTACGCAATAAAGAAAGGTAATTTGTTTTCGATAGTTGTGAAGTGGCACAATCTCAAGAGTGTGAGAAAGTTCAGCTGTCATTTTTTTTAAGATGCAAAATTTATTTAAGAAATGTAGCGTTAACCGCAGCCACCTTGCGGCTGCTGTCACGGGAAGATCTACAATCACCAGCGGATCATGTGCGCGTCCTGAAAAGCGGCCCTCTACCTCTACTCAATGTCCGGCACACCCAAATTAGTGCAGCTGTCAAACCCCAAGCGCCAGCCAGGTGCGGCTGTTGCATAACTTGGATCTTTCTAGAAGAACGCCTCTGGTTCCCTTTCCCGAGAGCGGCGTCACTCTCGATATGCTATTTATGAGTGCTCTAATAAACCGCTATCTTTCAATACTTCCGTCACTAAATATTAACTGTCTCTTTGTATATTCCTGGAGCTCCAATTATGGGTTATGCTCCTCGAAAAGTCTGCTTCGAGGAAGAAAGGAAAGCGAAAAAATAATATGAGGGCGGAAAATCATTACTGCTGAATTGTTCTCATAAATCAGTACGGATAAAGAAGAAATGGGAAGGCGATGGGTGCTGGTGTCCGGGCTGACATCAGTGCAGGGATCACGTGGAGGATTCGGAAACGTGCATGAAAGTGCGGCCGAGGCCTTTAGCTGACGCTGGGGCCCGAGTGAAATGGACTGTAATCAGAACACAGCGAAAAGCGGAGCGGCAGGAATGGAAGAGCAGGGTCATCAGCATGTTATATTTCATTTATTGAGCAGATGCTTTTATCCAAAGCGGTGGACATTTTTGAGAAAACAGGGTCAGTCAGTCCCTGGAGCAATTAGGGGTTATGGGCCTCACTCGAGGGCCCAATGCTGACATCACTCTGCCCACTACAGGATTCAAACCAATGATCTTCCGATCAGCGGCACAGCTTCCTAACCCACTGAAGCATATTAACTTCGGTCTGTGGCGTGTTTCCTGGATGCCGCCCAGCACCTTCTCCTGCTGCGATGCCCCGTCCGACAGATGGAGAGCGTTTGATCAGGCATGATGGGTGAGGGATAGAGCTGCCCCGGGCCTGCCTGTCTGTCGCGTGATTGGTCAGGCACTCTCCCCCTTTGATTGTCCAGCCCACTATATTCATTGCAGTCCTTTATGTATTTACTTATTGTTCATATACACATTGCACTACGTGTATAATCCCTTGTGTCCAGCACTCCTGCTTCTCACTGTCCTGTCATTTGCACTGTAAGTCCTGTGAAAGCCAATCCCTGTCTCTCGCTGTCTGTACGCTGCACCGTGGTCCTGGGGGGACGTTATTTCAGGTCACTGTGTACCTGTATATGGATGGTGTGGCAATGAAGCCCATTTGGCTAGACTTGACTTTAAGCTGTCAGTCACGGGGGGTGTGAGCCTGGGGGGGTCGTGTCGCTACGGAGGCAGGTCTGAAGAAGGTGGGTCAGTTTAGTATTGGTGCACAGGTCCCTGCGTAAACTCTGCCACAACAAATGATGGTGATATCACATGCACAATACGTGCACAGGTAGAGACACACCTGTTCTATAACTGCTGCCAGGTATTATTTCATCTTAGTGGCTTGAGTAGCCAATCGCTGTGGATTACCCAACATGCCACCTGTGCGCTTGTACCTTCTGGGCCTCTGCCTCCCATGATTAGACAGCTTGATTACTAACCACGCGTCTTTGTTCGCTGTGCTACATGTTCTTGGGCTGTAAAGCTGCCCGCGGATACGAGGAATGCCGCAGGTGGTGATGATGGGGGTGTCGGCTACTCAACCATCAGCCATTATGCAAATGAGCGTTAATGGGGAAGGGCACGGTGTGGCATAATTACCCCAGAGCCATTATAATTGCAGCCCCTGGGGCAGTTAATATCTGTTCTCTGTACTTGTGACTGCTACTCCAGGGGGCAGTTAATATGGAGGAGATGCCAAGTCAAACAAAACCTATTCATGTCCGGGCAGAAAAAAGGCTGGGGTTTGTAATAAAACTGGTTTTGTCACACTTTCATTTTTAATTTCTCCTTTTGTCAATCAAGTGCTGAGCAGAATGAATGAGATGCCAGGATGGGGTTAGTGCTGCTGAACTTTTGAATGGGGAGGGGGGGGGGGTAACGTTGAAGCCGATGGGGAAAGTCACGCCACGGGATTGCAGATGGATTTATTTAACTCCCCCCCTCCGTAAATCTCACGCAAACCCAGAAGGTGAGCTGAGGAGCCAGAACTGATAGAAGGTTCCAGAAGAAGCTGTAAGGAAGCCTCCTTCAGTTCTATTAGGGACACTGAAGATACTTAAGCATAAAATGTTCATTAAATGTACTCCCAGGTGTACACACAGTACATGCCGTGTGAGAATGAGCCCCAACCCCACTGCGGTTTACTGTGAATTATCTCACCCATGACCCTCATTTTCCAGTCAGCATGCTTCCTTTTGGAGACACGCACACTGACGTGCGTAGGGGGGTTACCAGGGTAACCCCTTCTGCCATTAAAATCCCATTTTTATGCTGAATCCTCATCTCTGCCCCCCCCCCCAGTGTTACATCCTGAACTGTCCCCAAAGGTGCCCAAAGTCTCAAAGCTCGCCAGCTCAGCCTGGCACCCCGTCCGCATGTTTAACTGACACGTAAAAATGCACGACGCCGGTAACTTTATCTGCCGTACTTGCCGGCCCATGGGGCACCAGGTGTGTCCGCACCGTTGCCTCTGATGTAATTAACAAATTGGCGCGTTGAACCCTGACTGTCCCTGGGGTCAGCATGGTGAGCCCCCCTGTAAACTCGCTAAGCTTGAGATGGCAGACAGACGCCAGCATCCTCCGGAGCGTCCGTACATGGGAGCTATTGGGAAGATTCCACAGCCGGAAGGTTCCAGAAGGTTGCGGTGAAATTGAAGGGGTATTACTTTAATCCTGCCTTCCCTTTACTTTAACACACCAGTCACATCCATGTCACAATTGGCCATGACGCACCAGGATGTGGTTTAAAGGGGGCACTTAATTGTTTCTGCAAGCGTCAGTCGACTGGGGCTGAAGGGACGTGCGAGTGTCCGCATAATGAGAACAATGCTGGAGCCCAAATCGAGCCTCGTGTAATAAGAATTATGCTAATTTCCTTACAGACAGACTGATGTTTGGAAGAATAAAAAAAAATCCTGTTTTGACAATTTAATTACCTCTAAATGTGAAATAGCTGTAAGTCAGTCAGATAAGGGATGGGAAATAAGAGAGGAATGTACGAGAGGGAGAGACTGCAGGCTTTTGTTGTCGGAGACGAAGAATGGGAGGATTCCCTCGACGGAGTAACGGATCTGGAGAGGAGAGGAATGTTGGCGGTAATTGATGTGGCAGGTGACACACACAGTTGTCATGGCTAATTGGGAATGGTGCCCAATGAGCAGAAGCAGCTTCCACTTTACTGCGATTAAGACGCGTCTTAGGATAACGATTGATCTGGCACCGGGTTTAAACGGCCAAAGTTGTGCTGCCAGTGGAATTCACATTTTTCCCGTATCGCTTTCATTTTAAAAGTCCTATTTCTGCTTTTCTTTGCGGTTGTGCCTCATGGAAACAGGATGTTAACTTCGCAAGGAAAGTGGGTAATGAGATTCTCCACACAGCAGGTGGCACTGCAGCTGAGGAGCTGGACTCCCGCCAGAGATCTGGCACAGCTGTTGTACCTTTGAGTGACCTAGACTGAAATGAAAGCTGTGGGTCTTTCAGAGGAAACCCTGGGGTTTGAGTGTGATGGTGTGTTTGAGCTGTTTGGTGGCCCCCACCTCAAGTCCTTTGAAGGGCACACTTGCTTGTGGTTGTCCTGGCTTCCTGCTGACCCCCGTCCTCCAATTTAGGGGGTTTGAAGGGTGAGGCAATCACCACAGCGGTAACTCAGACGCCCGGCGGCGCTGGCCTCTGCCCGGCACAAAGAAAATCCCAGGAAAGGAGATTCCGCCTTGTCCTCTTCCGGCACTGTTCACAGCAGGCAGTTCGGAATGGAGGGTGAAAAGGCAGAGCACACGGTTTCAGGGAAAATCAGGCCTTTAATCTCCACTAAGCGGAGCGGCCTGTAGTGTGAATTTCCCAGAAGGCACCTCTGGCGCAGAGGGGCAGGTGAGGCTGGAGGATGGCTGGACGGGTTCTGCCACTGAGGCAGAGACAGCTTCCCTCTTGCCCAGCTGCGTCCACAGCAGTGTCTGGAGGTATCTGTTGCAGAGACGGTCACCCCCAGGCCTGGGAAGAGGGCATGGTGAGCAAGGGCATGACTGAGCAAGGGCATGTATAATAATACAGAGTACAATAGTGACACCAGCGGGTTTGGTGAGCATCAAGCTGTGATTGGCCGGGAGGATGGAGGCGGGGCTCCAGTGATTGGCGTGTCTCTCCTAGCGGCAACCTGAGCGAACATCACGTTGCAGGAGGCTGCTTCCAGTCCCTTCACTGCCGAGTCTCTCCCTAAAGCCAGGCGCCTCCCTTCTCTCCACGCGCCTTTTTATTTCCGTGTCTCGACTGTGCTGATCGCCTGCCCTGATCATATGATAATACGCTGTAATGAAACACAGAGCAGCTATTTAACAACGCATCCCTGGCGAGCATCGGTTGATTCACAGCAGCCGCCGTAGCGGGAGAGTGGGGCCCGTGTATGTGTGCATATACACATGGGGGGGGGGATTGGTAGAAGGCGGTGTGCTTCCCAATTTCAGGATAAGCAGCCAGAGCAATAGGCTCTGCAGTCTAACACGATAAAGCACCAGTTAAGACTAAGCGATCATGAGTTAGTGGTGACAGGCGTGATCCGGTCTCACCAAAGTGGCACGGTGACAGCCATGTGTCACCCCATTCCCCTTAGCCTTTGACTAACTGTGCGATCTGTGGGTGCTGCCCAAATCACTGGTGGGGGACTGCTGTTGTACCCCTTACAGGCCGTTTGTGTCAGTGATAGTGGACATGGGAGAAGCAACAGAGTTAGTGTGACTACAGAATGATGTGTGGGCGTGCCTCACCGGGCATTCTGGGAGATGTAGTCTATGGATGACCAGCTGCCCCTGGTAGCTATAATGATCTCTGGGGGTGGCAGCTATGGCCTCATGCGTGTGGCTTTGCCCCGCCCTCACCCTCCATTTGCCCCCAGGTCATGCAGTGAGAGTCAGGCAGTGGGCCCTCATGCTTCAGGAGATCACATCCGCACTCAGGCTTGAAGATCTAACATCATTTCAGGAAATCAAATATGCTGCATTGTGCAGATGGAGAATCGCCTGTAATAATGGCTACCATACCTGCAGGTTAGCATGATACCACATTAGCCCACGGTCAGCAACAGCATCTTTCAGCAAATCCAATAATTAGGAAATATTCGCATAAACATCCCATCGCGGTCCTGCCTCATTACGCAGTCAGGCCTCCTGTACGCTAAGCCAACCGCACTTTCGGCGACGCCAGAGCGGACTCAGACAGAAGCGCATGCACGCCACTGGAAAGTGATAAAAACACTCACTTTGTCTTTAAGACAAAAGGTGTTCGCTGCCACCACCGGCTCATGGGGGGGGCGCCGCCTGTCTGAGCACACTACGCCTGAAAATGGATCAGATTGTAAACTCTGGCGAAATAAACAGTTAAACCAACCATGCCGACCTTAATAGGCTATGCCCAATGTTATTTCATGTATGAACAGTTTTACTGCTCAGATCTGGAATTTTAAAATGGCAGTTAGACCAGACAGTCCATATTTTTCAATTAACACAGAGACTTCTGAAGCGTTGGTGAACAGCTTTCCAAAAAAAAAAACAGGTGGAACTTTTCCCAAAATACGGCTGTCCGTTGGCAGAATTTTTCATGGCTATCATTAGCGTGGCGAAAATACGCTCGTCAGACGGTGCCGAGACTGTCAGACGAGTCCCGTGGGCCAAGTGTATTCTGGGAACTGGATGGTTGAGCTGAGCATGTTAAAGCACACCCCGTAATAAGGATGTGTACCTAAATATCACAATATGTTTCTTTCAAGTGAGAAGGAAAACATAACATTGTAAACTATCCATCCATCCATCCTTCCATCCATCCAAACGTCCATCCATCCAATCATAGCCTCTTTTCCACTGGGCCGGGGTGACAATCCGTCACAGGGCACACAAACTCACATAGACTTTTGTGCTACCTGGATTTTATTAAAAAGGAACAAAAATATTGATTTTTTTTCTCACATTAGTCATATAAAAGTTATAAAAACTAAAGCAGCATAACGTGTAAGGGCATGCCATTAATTTAGTGTGTAGCCTTGCTAATAACCCAGTGAAAAGGATTTCCTCTGCATCTGACCCACTGATCTGCCTTTCAGCATCCAGCTAATCGATCTGCAGCAGCCGTGGGTGTCATTTTGTGTGCGTCATTAAGGTGACTCTCTCCACGCGGGACACGCCAACTGATTCCCAGTAAGGCGTGACGCCATCGCGGCTGGAACGTTAACCATTAAGAGGGCTATTAATAAACCCCATTTGAGTTTATCAAGCAGTTTCTCATGGAAGATGAGTCTAAGTGGTAAAATATCAATTTGTAGTCGCTTGAAATAAATAAAGAGGTCTGGGGGAGACCTGTAAAGCGGCATCAGGGTGGCAGACAAGTCTGAACCTCCCATAATGCCGAGTCAGGAACTGGCTCACATTCACTATACAAGAAAAGGTTTACAAACCTCTGGAAGGACTCTGCTGTTGAAACCTTGAGGTTGGTAATCAGTCACTCAATGAATCAATCAATCAATCAATCAATCAATCAAACCAACAATCAATCACAACTTCATTCATCATATACACAGTTATACTCAGTTATACTCAGAATACCCTATTAAAATATTCATCTGCTTAAAGGGATAGTATGATGTTTCATAAAGCTGTTTGCTCAGAAATACAAACATGATCAATATAATGTAAGAAGAGCAGTGAGTCAGTGCGTGTGCGTGTGCATGCATGTGCATGCGTGTGCGATCCGTGTGACGGTGAAGACGCAGACTGCGGGGTTTA